ACTTTTATTTTATGCTCTGAATTTCATGCCAGCTTTTAACTCTACAGTAGCAAAAGTTGTTTAGCTCTTTCTTTATGACGTTCTGACTCTCTTGTGTTTCCACAATGCATCCAAGTCCAATGCAATCAGAAATTTTAATTTTTAAGCACTTACTGAGTCACAGTCATCAGAGAAGACTTCAAACAAGACCAGTCCCAGGACTGATGCTCGAGGAGCTATCTAGGTCACTGCTTCATGACCTGATACATTCCTTTGCAGCATAGCCCACTGTTGCCTCCTTTTTCATCAGTTCCCTATCCATACTTGTACTAATTCCCATCTTCTATACCTTAGTTAGCACTTTCCTATATAGAGCCTTTGGGCTATAGGAAGGCTGCTAGGAGAGTTCTTGATTAATAAGCCCTGACAGCATCCATCCATCTAAAATTTAACAACTTGAACAGAAATGTCATGCACATTTCACAAAAGAAATGATTCAATAACTCAGTGTTTACAGAAAGCCATATGAAAGCCATATAATTTCCTTTTTTAGAAAACTAGAAAGAGCTATCAAGACAGCCTGATGCCATCTATGCTGGTATATCTATATTGCACTTTACCTTACTTTACAGATAGCTTCTTATATTTAATTATTCTTTCCTTCAAAACATGTACAAAAGATTTACATGCTCCATGTGCTTCAAAATTTATGCACTTACTCTTGTTGTAATTACCCTAATTCATGTGTTTTGTCAGGCTTCAAAGCAAGGATAGTTTTCTGAATTTGGAAATTTTTAAGTGTTTCAGAAAAATCCCCTCAACACAAGCAGAGCAGGCAAACAAAAATTATCAGCTCTATTTTGTTTTATTTGCATTTTAGCATACTTCAGGTGAATTAAAGAATAAAATTGATTAGGCTTGAAAGAATTTCTTTTGATCCACATTCATCATGGCTAGTGCACACCACCTGCCAGTTCTGGAGGGAAGAATTATCAAATGTGACATGCAAATAAAAAGAAAAAGGTAAGTTACATGGTACGGATAAGAGTGCTAGCAGGCAGCAAGGTAGGCATTTGAGTATCTTTGCCCTTGTGACCATGCCCAAACCTCCCTCTTTGCTTCTCAACATGGGATGCAGACCCAAGGATGATTACAGGCTGTGGGGCTCTGAGCTGACCCTCTGTTCCTCACTGTGGGATCCAGCCAGGGCCATATTTCAGGAGGAGCTCTAACATTTTCTCCTGATGTCATCAAAGACGCTTGTCACTGTGGCCAAGAGGAAGTCCAAATTTAAATCTAAAAGACAACACAAGCATGGAGATATGGTATTGTATGGTGTCTGGCTGGGATGGATTTAATTTTCTTCACAGCAGCCTGTATGGGGCTGTGTTTTGGATTTGTGACCAGAACAGCATTTATAACACACCAATGTTTTAGCTGTTGCTGAGCAGTGCTTGCACAGCATCAAGGCCTTCCTCTGTTTCTCACTCTGCCCCCACAGCGAGTAGGCTGGGGGTGGGCAAGGCACTGGGAGGGGACACAGCCCAAAGAGCTGACCCCAATAGACCAAAGGGACATTGCATACCATATAACATCACATGCAGCAATAAAAAAAAAAAAAAAAACCTGGGGAGGGGTAGATTTCTGAGGGGACTGTTGCTCGGGGGCTGGCTGGTCATTGGTTGGTTGGTGTGAAGTGATTGCTTTTGCATCACTTGAAGTTTTTTGGTTTGGTCTGGTCTTCCCTTTTTTTTTCTTCCTTTTTTTTTTTTTTTTTTTTTAATCCCTTTACTTATCAAACTGTATTTTGTCTCAATCCATGACTTTTCTGCTGTTCTAATTCTCTTCCCCATCCCACTGAGGGCAATGAGCAAGCTGTGTGGGGCTGAGCTGCCATCCAGGGTGAGCCCACCACAGTCATTTTGGTACTCAGCATGGGGCACAAAATGTTCAAGACAATGACAGATTTGATCAAAGTGTGCTAGAGGGAACTAGTTATTATACCTGTTTAGGAGTTGCTGGTTGCAACGTTGACTTATTTGTTCTTGACATTGGCTTGTTTGTTCTCTTACCTGCTCTGTGTCATGATCCATCTCTTGCTGTACATCAAATTTGTGAGTTTGTTAAAGACTGGGTTTGGTTTTTGCAGTTTGCTGTGTAGCACTTGGTTGTGTTTTGTCTGGGAGAATGATGCTAAGAGTTCACTGGCCTTGAGCCTAATCTGGTATTTGGGCATTGCACTGCAGCCATCCCAGTACCTCAGGAACCATCTCGCGGAGACAATTAGCAACTACACATTTTCCCTCTTCTCTGAGAGCAAATTTATGGATGAAATGGAGAATGGCACCTTCCTCTTCTTCTCCTGTGGGGTATGCTTTCTGCCTTGTTACAAAGGCTCTTCAGTCCCTTCAGCACCCTTAGGTAATCAGAATGCCCATACTGTTGTGTTTCAAGAATCTCTTTCTGGCTTTTCCTAAGGTTAACTGACTATTTAGGAATTTCACACAGGTATATGTCCTGACACAGTGTGGTCATGGGTAGCAAGGTGCATGAGAGACCACGGGCAGGTTACTTAGAATGGTTTTCACCTCTGAGGATTATGCGACTTCACCCCAAACAACTACAGAAGGACGAGGAAATCTGATGTGTGTGTGGAAGAGAATTAACCTTGGGTGAAACTAACCCATAATATGAATAACATGGCACCACTGCAGTGTGATACCATTGATGTATGATGCTGTACGTCACCATTAACAACAAAATATCTTCAAGTTAAAAAAGCTGGTTTGGTCTAAAATGAGCAGTGAGCATACAGTATATGAAAAAGTGGAGTATTCCTACAGGACCTGGCTTTTGAACACTTTTTCTTTAAGCCAAAGTGACTCCACGCTTGACCCATCACAGCACTGCTGTGTTTGAAGAAGGAAGGACATGATTACAAACCCACCTCTCATCTTTTCTAAAACCAGATCAACCTGATTACCCCATCTGCCCAAAAGGAAAGCCACATCACCACCTGCCCATAAGGAAAATTGATCTGAACCAAGCCGAGATGCTTGTTTGTATAATAAATGAGTTTGCATTGTTTATGTGACTCTGTCCTTCTGTCCAACTTTTACTCACAAGTCAGCACTATAATCCCACACGTAACACTGTCTGATCAGGCCAACATCATGACACACAGGGCTGGTATGATAAACACAATCCATATATATTCTCTCACACACACAGAGTTTAACTCTGTGTTTTCAGACTGATTTTTCACAGCAGTAATAGCATACACCAAGTACCTTATATTTTCTGCATTTTTACATTGAGAAATACAAAGTTTAAAAAACAACTCCAGAACTATAGAAAATTGAAGATGTAAAGTACATCCAGATCCACAAAATTGTTTTCAATTCAAACTGCACACTCTTAACTGAGAGTGAGCTCCATATTTTATGCACTGTAAAGGACAGACCTATTGTTCACGATTATGGACTGGACTCTATCAAATAGCACATACCGCTCTGGGAATGCAACTCACCAGGCTGGGAAAGCCAGGACTTCATAATTAAATTGCAGCAGCTAATAAAGAAAATATTTTATTGATTATTTACTGCTTTAATAGACATAACACTAATATAATATTAGAAACATCTCTACTTATATAATCAATATGTTATATGTGTATATATATACTGGATTTGGATTATTCTCCATCCATAGCTGTGTATAATGTTGCCTTTCATGGCTGCTGCTAAAATTCCTATTTGTTCCTAAGCAAAACATATAAATAAAATACTTTTAACTCAATTTAATTTTCATTAAATGCTGGTTTACTAGGTACATTATAGGTACAAGCATAGTAACATAGGAATGGTGCAGCTAAATCAGCGTGTATTAATTCAATTTGTGATGGTGAGCTAAGAACCACATGCAAGTCTGTTTGAGCATGATAAGAACAGGAACAAACATTCAGTCCATATTTTGATTGAGATAGTCAACATTTTAATATTATGTGGCAGGCAAAATGCTACAATGGAAGTGAGAACAGATGGGGAAAACGTTACTGCTCTCCTAGACTGCAGAACACAACTGGATATTGTACTTCTGTTGTCGCCAGGCTCTACCATGCATGTATCATCTCACATTCAGCTGATAGGCAGAGCGATGAAAGGCAGTATTTTAGTGAGTTAAAATTATTCATGCTGCAAATGAGCAGCATCACCTGCCTTAATGAGCAGGTATCATCAGCTTTGAGATGCATGTACAATGGAATCAATGGGGAAGAAATATCAGAGGACTTCACCCAAGTTTAAAGGTATTTTAAATACAAGGGAGAGATGACTCCTCTCCTTTTCTGGAACACTTACAGAAAAAAAGCTGTGGGATCAATAGATATTGCCAAAGGAACAACTAGGCAGTAAAACCTTTATTCTGAAATTTGTTCCTGATGTCTGCACTTGCATTCCCAATTGCCATCTCAGCACAGCGAGATACATCACCCAATATTACAAAAAAGGTTGCTCATATATATAAATAACAAAAAAAAATAGCTTGTACCTTAAAATCCAAAGCAATACGTTGGCAGATTTCTCACAATGTTACTTGCAAGGCATGGCAGTTAGGCACACAAAAGAGACAACAGTCAGAGCCAGCCCTTGTCTGAAAAGCTTGCAGTCCTACAGATGGACATAGGTTAAAACATAAGGAAGACACCAATCAGAGATTCGAGCCTTTATACTAGCACCTTGTTAAAGAACTGGTAGTGTGTGAGGCTTTATACAGAGTCTGTCAGCTTCCCAGAAATACTTTATGAAAGTATAGTATTCACTTGAGCTTTATTCACTTTATAGTTTTCACTTTATGAAAGTATAGTATTCACAGAGCTTTGAACCTCTGATGGCAGGCCTAGCTCTAAAAATACAATGTGGAAGAAGTCCTGCAGAGAGGAATAAAGAAAACAAGCTGGAGAAAAGACTGGAGCCATTACTGGAGCAAGGGGAGAAAAGTAAGAGAGAAGATTGGAGTGCTGAATGAGATGGAGCTATGAGGGCCTTCAAGACAAAGATGAGACATTTAAACCGGCTGACAGAAACGAGCAAAAAGGTGAAACAGTGGCAGATGTAGCAAGGTGTTGTGTTTTGAGTGATGGGGAGTGGAGAGAGACAGCTCCCAGTGAAGCTGCAAGGAAAGAAGTTATAGCAAGGGAAGAGAGATACCTGACGGACAGCAGGTATGGTTAACCTGTATTTAATCGAATGGAGGGAAGAAGCAGAAAGACATTCACAGCCTAGTCAGGATGTAGAGGAGGGAGGGTTCCTTATTTATGCTATGAGCCTGAGTGACAGAATGGAGCTGTTGTCAGCAGCAACAGAGAAAAGCAGCAGCAAGAGGATTAAGGACAAGAAATAAGCAGCTGGGTGTCACCAGTGTTAAGCCTGAGCTGCCGGGGAGTCATGCACTGCCATGCAGCATAGCACCATAGCACGGGACACGCAACACAAGGACAGGTGTGGGTCCATGATTCACCAGTGAAAAACTAGTAACTGAGTTAGTTCAAGTTGTTCAGGGTTAACACATAAAATAGCGAGTTGAACACCATACTACAGACTCCTCTCTTTCCTCCAAAACATTTGCTCTCCTTGGCCCAAGCCATGTACCAGCTCTGGGCACTGCCTGGATCCTTCCCAGGTACCTTCAGTTTTCCACTGCCTCTTGCAAGCATCCTTTTCTACAGGGTAAAGTAGTTTCTGCAGTTTATATTTAATGCATACACAAGTCTGCAAGGTCTTCGCTACTGATCAGGAAGATGGTGCTTGCTTCACATTGGACTCCTGTACCTCAGCTTTTTGAGTCTTTAAAGCCTTGTAAATTCTTAGAGCTTCAGTGTTTTTGATCTGCCAGTTTCTTCTTTTATTTATTTTGCAAAACTAGCACGAATCTTTGCACCTTAAACCTTTACTTTTCTGACCTGAGTTTTTGCATTCCTAGAGTTTTGTTCTGAAAAACAAAGGCTTTTCTTCAAAAAAATATACTGAATATAATGTTAATTATTCTGCTGTGATCCAAGTCCAAATTTTTCTGGTTTATTTTCACTTAGACCGCCTGACATAAGCAAGATTGATTTTGTTTCCTAACATGAGTCTTTTATTTTACCTTATAATTGAAAATGGATCAGGCACTCAACAGATATATAGGAAAACAAGTTACCTGTACCACATCTTATATATGAAATAATAAGAAAGAGTCAGTTACAAGAAAATCCATGAATATATTAAAAAAATTCTAACGCATAGTAGGAAACTGTATTTTAGACTACTACTAAGAGAGGGTTTATTAGCTAATAACTGTTGCTGCTGAATTAAGATATAAATAATTTGTAAAAAATGTATAAAAAACCAGAACCAAATAGTCAGAAAGAGAATTAAGCAAACTTGTTCCTCATTCAGTGAAATACGATTAGTAGTATTTCCATGTTTTAATCTGCCTTCTGGAGGGGTGCTTTCAAGACATGCAGCATATAACTAGGCATTAGTGAACATAATCCTGACATTTGTCCCTATGATAAAACTTTACAAATACCACTGTCCCATTCTTTTTCAGGATAACTTGGAAACCTGAATTAATTTAGAATTAACAAGTAATATTACACAGGGGAATACATTTGGGAAAGCTGTGATTAATCTCATCACTATGGACCAAGGCTAAACAGACACTTCTCCCTTTCAGCTATCCAAATATCAACCACCCAGAAGTTTATGGCTGGCAGCAAGAGCTGTAGCACAGTTTAGGGGAGAGATCTCATACCCGCCTGCAAACAGCAACCAACAGAAGAGTTCTCATCATCTTCTGATCACAGTAGGAATGAAAAAGTTTATGTCGGCAATTTATATGAAAGTATAGCAGATTTTTAATTCCTGTACCAGGGAAGAGAGATGGATTGAAAGGGAAGGTAATGTCAGACAAGGAGAATAAGGTCATAACAATACCCGTATCTTTTCTGCCCTACTAGAAGGAGTGGAATACCCACTACCAGGCAGTGTCCCCTACCCAACACAGAGAACGCAGCCTCACACTTTGCATTTAGATTAGCAGCTGCAACAAAAAGCCCTTCAAGCAAACCTGAAGCTGCCATTTCCACAAAGGGTACAAAAAGCCCACTAGCCAACAACAGAATATAATACCGTTCTAATAGTAGAAGCGAAAAGATACTGTCATTTTAGCAGAGAAAGCTAACTACTTACAGACATGGCAAAAATTGTCTGCATTGTTGATTTGGTCTGCAAGGCATAACAGTTAACAGGAATTACTGAGCAATTGTTTCAGAGAGTAAACCTCTGCTACTTCTTGCCTCCAGAAAGCCAGATGTACACTCCTGGTGGGTGACATCAATACTGCTGGGAACAGTGTCACAGAACATACAAACTCACCAGATTTGCCTGGTAAGGACAGAAATTCCTAAAAGTCAGCCTAAGATCCCAGGCGACAACATAAGCAGGGATGAGACTGACAAGTGAATGAGCACCAGTTCAAAACCATCAAACCTACTGTAGTATCTCTATGTCTCAGTAAAAAGGGATGCAGACAGAGACTATAAATATTTTATACGTAATTGGCTCTGCATTTAACAGTGATTGCAGCAGAGAAAAGTAAATTCTGAATCTTGTCGTTCTGAAGAAGCACTCTCCCTGCAGACAGGCACTGATTAATGATGCCATTCTCTGAAATCTGAGCCACAGAGATCCTCAGACTTCAGGAACATTTTAAAATGAATTTATGTGTCTTTCCCAGTTCACTAGTTCACTGAATTCAGTTTCATTGTGTCACATTTACTTGCCAGAGAAGACTCCAGACCATAACTGGCTGATATTTTTCATGTTTTCTCATTGCACGTTGACACAACATGTAAAAAAAAAAAATGTTTATTTTTGAGCAGGAGATTTTATAAGACGACAATGGTCACTATGATCGTTTATACAGAAAAATCCACACATGCTGAAGAACTGTCTTTGCCATTGCTGTTTATGCTCCTAAAATATTTGTAGTTCACATTTTTGACCTAATCTTACCATCTGTGTATCACAGTGGTACTCTACTAATGAGAATAAAATGTATTCTCATCAAGAAAATAAGCCAGCCTTTGGCTTCTTTTAAAGAAAGATTCTCACAGTTGGAGCATCTTTATTGTCTAGGAACATATATAAGTGGCTGAAGAATTCCTTCCATGTCTTCACTTAACCAGAACTGAAGCACAGATGATGGCAAATCCTGGAATCCTGATCACTACAAAAAGCCTTCAAGGTCACTGCTAGGGATGAGTATCAGAAATTAGGGTTTCTGGCAAAGATCCCCAGATAATGCTCAAGCTGATGTCAAAGCTTATACTTCTTTTAAATTCACGGCAAATAGAGATAAGCAGGAGTATAATAACTTCAGTTGTCTAGTTTCTGGTTTCACATTTTAAATTAAGGTTTTAATTTTTACTCTTTTAAGACATAATCCCTAAAAAGTAAAACTCCCAGAAAACCCACATACTTTTATGTCACTGGATCAAGTCAATCTGTCTGGACTGTCTGCCCATCTCCAGGACAGCAGGAAGAAGAGGTGTGATATTTCAAGCAGAAAATCTTGTGCCAGAGACATTTCTTCCCCTGGCGTGCAAGAGAAATAGTTCACGGTATCATAGAATCCCATAGAAAACACTATATTTTTGCTGAGCACACAGTAAAAAGACATTATTGTTTAGACATTGTAAGGTAGGTGTAACAGGTTACAGATTATAGCTTTCCAGCACATTGTCTTGTGAGATAGCTCTGCCACTGGAAAATCCATTTCTCCACTTCTAAAGACAAAGCTATCCCCCCCATCCTGGATGGGGTCAACCCTGACACTGTGTATGTTTGGGAACATGAGGAACAATCCTAATAGAGGAAGTATTTTTAGTTTTGTCTCCCTAGCTTGTCACAGATTAAAAGGATAAAAACACTTAAGACCACCAACAATAAAACAGCTGGCAGAGACCAGCAAGAGTGGCAGCTGGTCATAATTTCCATAACCAAGTGAAAGAGAAAATGTGTCATCATCAAAATGGATACTGAACCTGGCTAACTATTTTCATTGTAACTTTAGCTGGAGATGCACTACATGTCCCATCTATCTACAAAGCACATCTGTGCTGGCTATTACTGCAATATTACCAAATCACAAATTAGGACCCTTTTCCATGTACTATGGAGGTTGCAACCTCAAATCCAATATCCACTAGAAGAATGAGTTTTAAAAAAATAACAGAGGTGGAAAGGGGTGCAGGGGCAGGTGTGATACCAGGAAATAAAAAAGACTAAATAGGCTTCATGTAGAAAGACCCAGTGAAGCAGATCCTGGTTTGAAACCTCCTATTTGAGCTCTTGACAGTAGATGTTGTTGCCACCATGTCTCCCAGGGGGACAGCTGGATCTTGATGCAGGGCTGCTTTAGTGCCTTGCTGGCAGAGGCCTGTCATTTGCAATATTTAGGAATATAAAACTTTTGTTCTTGTTGCTGTAAATACACTTGCCCTTTTATTCAACCTGGTTTTAGTACTATCATTTCAGACGCAGACTGATGCCTGAACAGAGAGGGTCAGTCAGGAAGAGAGGCTATGGAGAAGACTTGATTCTTTGGGAAAGTCCCCAACACCCAGCAGGGATGTCACACGCCCACAACTCTGCCCTTGTGTTATGCCTGTATGTATAAGGATATACGTCAATAGATATCTCCATCTGTGGACATTGCTGGCAGGAAGGATGGAAGGGCCTCCCGTTGTTCCTGTTTCACATGCGCTGTTGGTGAGGAGCCACGGGGCAGCATCCTCTTCACACTCAGCATGCCTTGCATTTTTCTGTGAGTGATGAAGGACCTTCTGCAGTCATATCAGCATTTCATTGGTCCCTGATTCATTCACATGCAGTGTTAAAGATTTATCATCCTTCAATGTGGTGCAAAGAAAATTCCCATGTTCTCTCTCATACTGACCCAGATGTAGCTGAGGGGGTGGAAATAGTGTACTATGGTTGTGCCATGAAAATGCTAGTGAATTAGAAATAGGAAACAATCCTACATAGTTGGGAGGTAGAGCAACATGTTTAGGAGAGGAAAAAATGTCACATTAAAGTAGGGGAGCATCCAACTAGCCCAGTATCTGTTCACTAACAAAGTTTTTCTAAGAGAGTAGAAAAAAGTAATACTCTTGAT